TCGGCTTGTTTGCTAAACGAACAAGTCAAACCAGAACTTCTTAACGAACAAAACACGAGCTGTTCGCGAACAACAAGCCGTTTTGACAGCCCTACCTCCTAACCCCAAAATAATTTTTACAATTTCACTCTAATAACATTGGCGTTTTCGCTTTAATTTTTTTTTGCTTCAATTTTTTTTTAGGTGAGCCGATATAACACATATCATATCAATATATTACTGCAGTCCGAAATGTAAAGCTGAGTACGTAATCATATGAAATAATTTCTCCTGAATCATTCGTCAATAATAAAAAAAACAACATTAAAAAAAAAAAAAAAAAAAAAAAAACTATCCCGGTGCGCTGTCAAACAGTGGGCCTAAACACTCTCCATCCCAAGAAAATCCTCCGGCCCATTTTTCCGCACCGGTGGCTTCCCGCCCACCCGCTGTCTCGCACCGGAAATCACCCTCCCGGCCAAAAGCCCCACGTCAGAAATCACCTGCCAGACCAGAAGCCTCCCGTCCAGCTCACTATCCCAAGCTAGAAGTCTAGCGCCAGGCCCACTATCACCGACGTCTCCCGGCGGGAGTCATCTGCCCGGGAAGTCTTCCCTTGCACGCCAACGTCCGGCCGGCTTCTTCTCTTCCACGAGGATTTTTCCTCCAAGCTGACAGTTTTCTGGCATTTCTGTACCGGCTACTTCTGTCGTGTCGACCGCCAATCAAGCCGACCGTTTTCTGCCATGCCGGCCATTTTCTATCGCGACTGCCGCCAACGGTTTCCTGCGGTGATCCTCCCTTATGGTCGATTCTCACACCATATTCTTCTCTTGGTCGCATCCACATACAAGAAAAAGAAACAAGACATTTTAAAGGAGGAATACAGATTACTTCTACGGTTCTAAAGTCTCGTGGGTCAGTCACGGCTTCTACTATTTTCTCTTTCCTGAAGAACTCGTGGCTATTTTCTCTGTTGAAAAATGACGACGTAAAAAGCTTCAAATAGACTAGTCAACAAAAGGTTCGAAATTCCAGAACAAATAAAGCAGTTTATCCTTGGTATTCGTAATTCCGATTCCCGAGCAGTGGTATATACTCTGGCTGCTCAAAATCTATCCGAACAGTCCGCCATCGATGTCGATCATCTAATCAAGGAAGTTAAAGCCGAACGCCGTCGTTGTCTCCGTCGCTCCATCTGCTCTCCCTAAAATCCAGATCGAGGAGAAATGCCCGAGCGAGAACCAAGTCAATCATATTTCTATTTTCTCTATTCGGTTTCAAAAAAGAAGCCTTTTTGAGCCTTTTGCTCAAATCTCCGTATGAGAACGCAGGCTCCAAGTCCAGAAAGGAGAGCTCCACATTACATCTACAAACAAATAGATAGTCTTCTCCCTGGGAAGTTTCTGGTTTATTTCTCAACCAACAAAACTACGAAGGTGTTATTAGTACTAAATAAGAGAAAAAACTCGTTGATGCGAACGAAGAAGAACCAGTTGATACGAAAACCTTGCTAGTTGTCCAGAACCTCCGAATCGCCATTGAAGGCTTGAGAGTTGCATTAAACAAAGCCGCGCAAAATCTAGGCTGTCAAAATCCAGACGTACGAACTCATTTCGACAGAACTCCAGTCGGTTAAAATCCATCCGACCGATTGAAATGCAAACAGGTCGCCAAAATCCCATCGATCTTCGTTATCGGCATCGGGCTGGTCAGCAGTAGGGAATCTCTCTTCCACATCTTACCGATTACAAGCCTAAGCTGTAAGAAAACCCTCCAGGAAAACTTCAATGCCTTCTCTGATTTACTCCCTGCAGTGCTCCGACCCTGCCGCTCCTTCTCTCCGGGCGGCCCTACGCCGCATGTTAGAGTCCGTGGAACGCGAGCCAGAGGGCTGCCAAATGGTGACCGGTCTAGTCCCACAGCCTTACTGGTCGCTGCGCCAGCCAGTCGCCCGAAGCCCATCCGATCACTCTGCCCAAACTGTCCATCACCAGATGCGTACGTATGGAGGATGTTATTTAGAAGATATAAGAGGTTATATCCATTTTATACTGTAATCTATCTGTAATTTATAAAATAAGTTCCGCTCTTCTGTAATTTCGATAGTTACAAGTAAGTTATAAAAAAATTACAGGAGGGTATAACACGGATATAACCCGCATGTACCCTCTGAATAACCTCCGACATACACAGCGCTGTGTACGTCTTATGTACGCAAATATTTTCCCGGTCGACTGCTGCTCCAGTTGCTTCCGACCGACCTCCAACCTCCGATCGATCATCTGGGCCATCAATCAGGAAGATTTACACACATATCATTCAATGCTTTGGTTTTATATATATATATCTAACACCTAGAAATATAACTTTATATGTCTATCTGGTTGCTGCCCTGAACGCAAAACTCTGCTTCTATGTGAACAACTCCAAGACTCCGACGAAAAACTTTTCATTTCGAACAAAGAACTCCAATAGAGGACTTTTCCTCCAAATGGAAGATTTTTTCCTCCAAACGTCTGCCAAAATCTGATAACTCCCACGACAACAAAACTCTAGAAGGATAAAACCGACAACCGACAACAATATAGATCCCAAAACCAAGCACGAGAAATGTCTAGCATGGAGTATCATTAGCAAAATGTGCTCAAAATTTATTTGGTTTATAAATTTCCTTGTCTTTATTGCAATTATCGCTATCAAGGAGCTAAAAAATGAGAAACTTATTATATATACTCAAAAAATGATATGCACGAATCTTATGATTATCTACAATTTGCCTCTATCGAATTAACTACCCTCAGCCGACTTTTACCCCCAAATGAGGACTCAGACTGAGGTATTTCCTCCGAATGAAGGATGACGACAGAGGACTTTTCCCTCGGAACGCTACCAATATAAAAGACTGAAATCTTTTCCTACCCAATTTGAAAGCAAGAGTAATATTATAATTTATTGTTTGAGGCTCAAATCATCTATAAATAGGAGAACCCTTACATGCAAAGAGATTTTTTTGGGAAGCTCCCTTCACTTGTAAGCTCAAATTTCATCGAATAAAATGAGCACATGAGACTTAAAATACCACAATTCGCCCCCCAGGGTGCAAGTCTCTTTCTCTCTCTCTCCCCCACATTTTTCTTCCCTCAATCTTACATTCTATTTCTTGGGTACAATCTACTGAGCAATTTCAAATTCAGCAAATATATATATAATTACACTTTCACAATGTATGAAAAGGTATATTACGTTTTTAAAAGCAAGTGATCCCTTCAAAGTGATAAGAGATTTAAATTTTATAAAAACAACAAATAAAAGTTACACAGTAGATGTGCAAATATATAAGAATTGTTGTTACACTTTCACAATGTATGAAAAGCTGTATTACATTTTTAAAAGCAATAGTGATCCCTTCAAAGTGATAAGAGATTTAAATTTTATAAAAATAACAAATAAAAGTTACACAGTAGATGTGCAAATATATAAGAATTGTGGTTTATGTAAATATATAATATTTTTGCACTTATAATACAATTGTGTAAAATGTGTATTTTGTGATATTAAAGATTTAAGTGATGAATGTAAATATGAATATTCAGGTGTTAGATAAAAACATGAGAATTATGTTGTATGCATGTAAATGACTCTTAACAACTTACCAAATCTTTCACAATTTAAGAGGAATACTCATCAACTACCCTCCAAGTCATGTTAACCAAGCTAAACAACTTAACAAAAAATTTAAGAGGAATTTACATGAAAACATAAACTTCCAACTTGCAGCAATGAACCAAATTAAATAAAACCAGTCCAAAAACCCCAAAAACCTTCCCTCTGCAAAACATATGAACACGAAGGGCCCAGTTCCAAAAGAAAAAAGTCCCAAGCAATATTCTCCTACATAGCATTTTCAAAGAAACACTTTCAAAAGGAAAAATTACAAATAGAGTTCCCCACCCGATCGAATTAGTTGTATGTGCAGAATATCTCAGTACACAGCTGTGCACTCCCTATATGCTTCATTTATTTGGATTATTAAGCAGATATTGCTGTGCACTCATACACAAAAAGGAGAGTACACAACTGCATACTCGATCCACAGGAAAATATCTTCTAGCATCGGTGGTGACTCGGGCCGGCTCATATGGGCACATGAGCATCCATCGGCGAGCTCACGCCTTATCGCGATGGCGGGGGCCACGTATACAGAATGGACACACAAAGGAATGCTTACCATACTTTTTTTTGAACTACAGATGGGATGGTTCAAAAAAAAAATATTTATTGTTGATGAGAGAAAAGAAAGAGCTTTTGATATGTAAAAAAACATGTCTGGATGAAGAGAATCAGTGGCCGCTCCTAAATACTGAAAGAAGACCACTTTATGCCTTGCGCTTTTGCTGCTATTCAGTCTTTTCTGGAACCTAATTGAAGGTCATTACGAAAAAATTAGATTATATTAGGGGCATTTACATACATCCCAACCAATTCCTATGTTTTTAGATCTCTAACACACAAACTCTACTTTTTACATTTACACCACACAAATCTTTCATTATCACATAAAAAATACCACTATTTTAACTTCAAAAAGTGATGCATCTTTTCATGCATAGGTAAGACGGCATATATGTAAAAATTGAAGTTTAGGTTATAGATATGTATATACATAGGGAATTGAGTGGATGTAAGTAAAATTTCAAAAATATTATGATATAAATCATGTTTGATCACCGCACCTCATTGGCTATACAAGTAAGCGTATCTAATATTTCTGAGAAGTCAGGTCTCAAAGCTGGGTCTTTCTGCCAGCATTTCTCAATCAATAAAGTGAGTTTGGGATGAGTGTTCTTTGGAATGATTGGTCTCAACCCCTTAAGATGTAGAGAAAAAAAATTGAATAAAATGAAGAATAAATGATGAACTTGTTTTTATGGAAATAGAATGCGATGGTTACCGTTTTCAATACGCCTACGGCTGCTTGTAGCGGTGTCAGGGACTCATATGGAAGCTGTAAAGAGAAAAGAGAAACATAAATCCAAATAATAATATGAATAATAAAATTAAAATGAGGCATTAACATACATACCCCTGAATTCCTATGTATTTATATATCTAACACCTAAATTTTACTTTTTACATTTTGCACCACCCAAATCTTTCACATGACATAAAAAATACCACCATGTCAACTTTTAAAAGGTGAAATACACCTTTCCATGTAAATCTTCCAATTAAAATAAAATGTTTCAGAGGTGGGAAGTTACCTTCCCGGCGAGCAGCTCCCACATCATGATACCAAAGCTAAATACATCAGCCTTGTGATCATAGGGTTTGTGTTCGATGACCTGCGGTTAAAAAACAAATCGATTTGAGAATAATGGAAAGGAGAAGGATAGCACGCAAATATTTACAAATAACAATTTTATAATTATGGAATATAGTCTTGGTTTCAATAACAAGTTTGGTTCAGTTTGTAATAAATTTCAAATTTTGCAGAACCTGATAAGTGCATTTTAGAGATTCCAACAAAAAAAAAAAAAAACCTAGCTCAAAATAAGGCTATGGCTTATAGAAAATAAGACCCGTATTGATATTGAAGTAATTGACCTACAACCCCTTGGCTTCATTTAGTAATGTAAACCTTAACAAGTTAAACAAATTTAAATCCAATAAAATGGAATCAAACCAAACAAAATCATACCATTTAGCTACTTAAAAATCAGTATGTGATATGAAACAAACGTTTGATTTGCAATTTAGATGAATAATTCAGAATGGTTTACCAAACAGATGAAAGTATGCAATATAGCAGAATCAATTTGCATGGAACCTTTATTTTGCATGAAATGACAAGTAGACATTTTGCCTAACGCAAAGGTTTTGTTCAAAATGTCTGAATACTATGGAGAAACAGGTTACCAAGGGGAAATTTTAGTCCAAAAATACATTAGTATTATTTATAGAAATTTTCTGAATAATTCACTTATGGAAGGGATAAAAAGAATTAAAAAAAAAAAAACTGATGCCGTCAAAGATTAATTAGAAATTACACAGAGTTTGGAAGCTGAGTGGATAAAAACATATTAGAGGATTAGAGAAAATAAGGGATAGATCTATGGAAACATGAAAAAAAAATTATTCAAAATGATTTGGGAAGAATACGTGTAGCATCTCATACGACATTCAACAAAAAATAGGGTCATTTACATATATACCAAGCAATTCCTATATATTTACATATCTAACATCTAAAGTCTGCTTTTTTACATTCATACTACCCAAATCTTTCATATCACATAAAAATTATCAGCATTTTAAAGTTTAAAAAGTAACATGGTATGTATGTAAAAATTGATGTTTAGGTTTTATATATGTATATATACATAGGAATTGAGCAGTATGGATGTAAATCTTCCTATAAAAAAAATAAGAAATGAGGATTCATAAAAAACATCATGCGTCATTTACAACGGGATCGTGTCAACAAAACCATCAGCTTGCCAATAAATTATAGAAATTATACATTCCATATTTCTATTTGAACTTTCTATAGATAGAGAAAATACAGTAGCTGCATATTAACACAGCATATATACCTCTGGAGCCATCCAGCGATATGTTCCTGTTTCTGCAGTCATAATCCCAGGTTGAGTTTTAACACACGCGACTCCAAAATCAGCAACCTTAACAACCTGTCATGAAACTGATGCACCAGTTGGTAAAGAATGATGAAAAGCAGCTTGAAAAATGCAGCAATTAGGGCTTCAAAAAAAGCTCGTTGTTCCCGAACAAGTCATGTCATGTTCGGCTCATTAAGTAGCCCGTGTTCGAATCGTTCAAAATTTTTAAGCTCGAATGATAAATGAGTTGAACACGAACAACCCTTTGTACAATCGTGCTCTACTCATTTTGGCTCGAAATAAAAAAATTAAGATATTTTTTATATAATAATATATTATATATATTTATATCTAAGTTTAACTCACTATAGCTTGTGCGATCATGTGGTTTTGTGCTTTTTATTGTATAAGAATGGTGCATGCTCGAATTTAACACTCTATATTTTATTTTTCTAATTAACTTTTCTAATTAATTTAAACAAGTCAATTTTGATCCGAATATGAACAAGAACATGTAAATCTAGTCGAACATGAATACACTGTTTACGAGCAATTTCGAACAAGAACCAATTTAGAACAAAATTAATTTCGAACGAGCAGAAGAGGAACCAAGCCCAAGAACGCTCAAGCTCGGCTCGTTTACAATTATAACCCTAGTAGCGATCATATTTTTTAACAATTTAACAAATTACATCTTTTGAAAATAGAGAATAGATTTACAAGTTGACAAATTTCTCCTAGAAGGATTACCAGAACCAAAAAAAATTAGAGTTTATTTAAGAACTTGTAGGAAAACGGTGGAGAAAGCCATTAGATATGAAAACTATTTGCGTCACACAATAAGGTCTCATTTAGATCCTTGAAACCATAAAATGAAGCACAAATTAGCAGAGCTTGGAGATGGTCAAAATCAATGAATCTGACTTTCTTATGACAAGATTGCCATATAAATTTTTAAAAAATGGTAGATAAGGCACTTCTATAAAAGCTTCAGGAATGTTATTCATTCATTGAATCAGTAAATTAACTCAGATCAAGAAATCAAACAGTAGAATAAAACAACCACCTCATTCTCATCCATCAGAAGATTGGCAGTCTTCAGATCCCTATGTATGATATTATTTTGATGCAAATAATTCATACCCTTAGAAACATCAATGGCTACTCTGAGCAGAGAAGGAAGGCTAAAAACACCTTGCTGCGTGTGTAGATAGTCATACACACTTCCTCCAGACAAATATTCTGAAGACAGAAAACAAGAAAATTTACAAAACCAACCACAGTAAAATTATGTAAAACAAGAAATAGTTAATATTCAAGATATGTTATACACTTCAGAATAAACGGTCATAATTACTTCATACTTCACAAAGCACATACCTGTTACAATAAATAAGTTAGGAGGCTTTGTGCATGCGCCGATAAACTTAACAACATTTTTGTGACGAACCTTTCTGCAAGGAGTAGTATATTTTAGAAAACCATGGAGAAAACATAATCCATGGATAGATCAGATTCCAATAGAATGGGCAAATAAATAATCTAAATAAGATAGGCCAAAACTATTAAAACAAATTAGAACGGCATCCAATTTTACATGTAAAATAACAACAACAACAAAAATTACAAATTAGGATTAAGTTTAGTCAGCTTATAATCATAAGCCCACCACTTGCTGGCATCAAGGGTTTTCTGTAAAAGATAAACGTAAGAGAAAACATTTAGAAGTGATAGGAGAGCAAGGTAAAACCGCCGCACTAATTTCATTAGTTGAGAACGAAATATTTGTCTAAAACAGCAGATAAATATCTTATCAATAATAGAGTAAAAGGGTGAATATAGTGTCTCAAGAAATCGTAAAATAAAACTATATCACTAACCATGTATGACATGGTTTTCTAAAATATAATAAGTCTTACATATATCAACAAGCTTTAACTTGTTGCAACTTGAAAATTTGAAGAAAACCTAAAACCAAACTCGACAACCGAGTAGAATATGAGAATTGACTGTGAGATCAATAGTCATATTTTTTCCATGCTCACTGAAGTTTTGGTTATATTAAACGCCGACCAACTGATGATCCAGTTAGAAATGTAGATGCTTTAGATTCAACTTATATTAAGAAATGTAGAGGTAGACCTAAATTGTATTAAAAATGATGTTAATTTATTAGAATTAAATGAAAATATGATACTAAGTAGGACACAATTGAGAAAAATGATTCATGCATGTTGACCTCATTTTTGTGAGGTCTTAGTCTCCTACTCCCATAACCCATAATCTAGCCTTAGGAGTTCCTGATTGACCATCTTAGCAGACTAGTAATGGAGCCCACCTCCCATAGAACTTCAAGCCACTTCTTGACTCATTTTTGTGAAGAACTCGCATGAGTGGTTCCAAACACTCAACTTTTAGTTGCAAGGGTCAAGGACCAACATGTTTTCAGCGCTAGTTTTGGTTGGAGTTGCCCGTAAGAAGCTATCGGTCACCAGAATCAAAATCTTGTCGCTCGCTTCGGAAGGACGTTTAATTTACATATATATTTAGTTTTAAAAAAATATGAAATCAAACTAACACCATATTTTTCATAGTTTGAATGAAAGAGTGATGTACCTCAAACCCTGTATCTATCCCGAAGGATAAAAACATGATTTCAAGATGAGGCTTGACCAAATAAACTAAAGAATATATGACATCTGTTTGGTCTGCGAAACATTTGTATTTGCCGACAAGTTTCCTTTTTTAACATAAAGAATTAAATAGGGTTTATATTAAGTTGGGTTCGGACAAGCTTCCTATAAGGGCAAGCCTTTATAGTTAATTACATCTTAAATGACCAAAGTCACATAAGAAGACTCTCGATAAAATCAGGAAATATTATCTTCAAGGAATTTCAAAGGGTAGGACTTTTCAATGAGATCAGACATAGAGG